AAGACCACTTTTTGATTAAAAGCAAGGATCGAAAGTTATCAATGGTTCAATGCACTGATGTCTTATGATCATGCTCAATCAACTGCTCAGCAGGCTACATTGGTGTTTCTGGGGCGTTGAATAGGACAAAAAAATCATGGCTACTATGCCACACTGCAAAATACAGTGTTGCCTACAGAGCAGCTGCTTGATCATGTCATAAGTTTACCAATCTATTAAATAATTAATAACATTTTCCTGTCTCGTTTTACATAGAAACGATCTTGAGCAAACTTGTAGCTGAGAAAATTTTCTATAAGAATGGCTTTCGAACTGTCTCGCAGCTCAATATGGAAAAATACTAGAAGGCAATGAACAAAAAGCTGAGATTTCCCATAGTAATTTACATGTAAACTTCAAATGGCTTGTGCGAAGTCTGTTTCTAACCAAATGAGTTGTAACTTTGGGAGGCTAATCAAGACCCGATTTGAGCACTCATACATATGATTTTTGCAGTGAAAACTAGAGGTATGAGTGCTCATTGCAAGATAGCCTATATTACATGATATAAGCCATAGTCTGTACGGGGTATAATAGTACGTTCATACTATAGCTGATATCATGTAATATAGGCTATCGTGATATCAGAATTGATACAAAAGATTTCCGGTGAAAATTTGACGTATGAGTGCTCATTGCAAGACAGCTTATGATATCAGTCATAGTCTGAACGTACTATAAACGTAGCATTGCACGTAGTATGCAGACTACACAGCAAAAAATTCTGAATTTTAATTGTGATGTAAATATTCATTCAGGTAAACTTTTATTTAATTTCACGCAAACGAGCAACTTGTAAGCAATTTTGTTTACAAAGATGGGCTTTTGTATACAAAATTTGCAACATTTCATGAAAAGTCTCAGAACTTTACACGGTTTATAATGTCACGCTCCTTGTATGTGCATCATATTGAACAGAAATTTACACTACTTTTTCGAACTGTGTATAGCTGATATTACGTGATATAGGCTATCTTGCAATTAGCACTCATACGTCAATTTTTCACTGGTATAACATTTGATATCAAGATAGCCTGTATTACATGATTGTATCAGTTATAGTTCGAACGTAGTTTAAACATGTATTTTTTAATTCCTTTCGCAATTGAACTTAATTATTTCAAATTGTCTCAAACTTATACATTGTTCATAGAAGATTATAATAATTACACGCAACCTCATCCCATCTACCAAATGATAGTTAGGGCGGTTTTGAAGCTGTCAAAGTGTGTTTATTCATGCAAAAATTTATAATTTGCAAATATCAACAACGAAATCTAGATATACCTAGCTGGAATTAGTGCGCATCAGCCTTTGTAAGCAATGGCTTCTCTCGATGATTTCTAAGAATTAAAGGAACGCCCACACAAACCAACATAACCATCGGGTAGGGGGTAGGGGAAGTTAATTTGTGTGGGTGACGCTTGACATTCTAGAAATCATCGAGAGAAGTCATTATTTACAGAATCTGTTTCGCTCTTACTCCAACTCTATCTAAAAATGTCAAGTTGAAGTTGAATTTTCTGACAGATTAACTGGTTTTTAGTTGGGACGTTATATACTTAACGATCTACCAACTAAAAAGCACCACAATGAGAAAACCTGAACGAGCGTATTGACTGTATTGAAAAAAAACACCATCAAGATAGCCTTAAAACATGTTGTAACTGAAGCATAATTCAGAATGCTATGTAATCATATGATTAGTCTGAGCAGTTATAACATGTTGAAGACATTTTCTAGTCAATAATGATTATAACATGTTATAACTCTGTAGACTGAACAAGGTATAATGCAATGTTAAAACCGGTGAGTTATCAAATCTTATAACGATTTGTTTTTTTTTTCTGTAATAACAATTATTATAACATATTACAACTTTCCAATCTGAATATAGCATAATGCATTGTTCAGACTACAGATTAAAACATGTTATAATAATTATCGACAGCAAAAATATTATCAAGGCTTATAACATACTATAACTGGCCAGTCTGGCCAGTATTAAATGCTATATATAACATGTTTTATAACTCTGTAGTCTGGACAAGGCATAATACTATCTTCAGCGGTTTTTTTTTTGTGATGTCAACCATTATAACATGCTATAACTTAGCATAAACTGAAACACTGGCCACTAACATGTTATAAGGCTATTTTGATGACATTTGTCTTGAGGATAGAGTGATAATTGCTCAGTCTCAACGATGTAAAACATACGCTAGCACTATGACAGAAGCAACCGAAACATATTTAATGTGAACAGGAAATACAAATCCGTCCAACCGCGAGCATAGCTTTCTTAGAGGGTCTAGTATAAGATAAAAGCAGACTATAGTTTTTGACAGAGACGTTGAATAGAGACACGCATAGACTGAAGCAAGAATAACCAAACGAACCGTCAAACGCTGAACCAAACGGGCAAAGTAAATAAACATTACTGTTAGCTCAATTCACCAAAAAGAGTATTGTTCTCAATCATGAAAAAAGTGTTTAATTATGTTCACGAAATATTTGATATCTGATATATTTATTTATTTATTGTTGATTCTATTTATTTATTTATTGTTGATCCATTTTTTAGTGATAAAAAACAATTTCGTATCGGAACGTAAGCAAAACAGTAAAATATGACAAAAGTTATACTGTCATCGAGCGACTGTCATCTCTCGTCTTCGCTTTATTTTTGCAAAATGTTGCCGTGCACTTCATTTCTATTCAGTTCCGGTCGAATGTTCAAATTTTCTCAACAGCATTGTGGCACTGTATGAAAGTAATTTGAAGCTACTCGAAGAAACATGGTTGCCATTGACATTGCCAAAAGATACCTCAAAAACCGTGCTGCTGTTTTGACAGACATTTTCATTGCGCGTCTCTATCAACGTCTCTGGTTTTTGATCCAAACGAACTGTCAAAACCAGAACCAATCGAGCAGTGCCTACACGCTATTTCAAAACTACCAAAATTCGGGTAGAATCCACTCAGATCGGTCAAAACTGAACCTACCCAAAAATGGGTAATGGTTGTTGGGAGTGACAAGTTGACAAATGAACAACGTCGATCGGATGCATGTCAATATTGTTCATTTGTCAACTTGTCACTCCCAACACAGTTTACTCATTTTTGGGTAGGTTTATTGCATTGACAGTGTTGCTAGAAATCAACTAGGCATAGGCTGCCAAGGCAGTTTGTTTTGAATCTGCAATTATATTATACCCTCTATAATAAAAAGTTAATACAATCATCATTTCAAGAGCCACATACAAAATGTTGAAATCCGCATCATGATGATGGTTTTCAAGGTAGGGATGGTTTTCAAGGTAGGGCAAGGGCGGCGAAGGGCGGCGAAGTGCGACGTTTATAGGCCTATAGATGTAACGCAGGTTCCAAAATACAGTGCTTTCCCGTTTTTGGCAACATGACTCAATTTTCCTCAGCTAGTGCTTTTGGACAGTTTCTCATACACTACCTGTAATTTCTGATCGTTGAATAATCTTCTAGTAAAATCACAAATTGAATTTGGAGTTCGATGGATTTTATGGAAAGCAGAGAAAAAAACGAGAACGTGTTTCCAAAAATAGCACTGTAAAAGATAAACCCTTTTGCGCAAAAATACAATGACTGCCATACAAGCTCAGGCATTGCTTAAATGTGGATATGCTAATAAAACAACTCCTAACTAAGCGCACGCATTAAGTTCATCATAAGTCAATAAAAAATAAGAATCTAAAACTGACTTGTACCATCCACATCTCAGGACAGTCTCAATCAGGGTTGTTAATCGATAACCTCTAATAACGTCAGCGTTAATGTCTGCGATGGTGAGTTAGCTATTGAGACTTTAACGCAGACGATATCGACGGTTATCGATTAACAATAGTGGTCTCATCCACAGTTGATACGACTTCCAATTTAAAGATTCGTTAACATTTGTATGAATGTTACAAAGACAATAGGGGAAGGCAGGGCATAGTGAACAGGTGGGGCATAGTAAGATTCCTGTGCTTTAGCCTTCGATTTCTTATAGTTCAAAACAAATTAATTGATCATTAATCATTGCAACTACCCATTAATTTTTTTCGCACAATTAGAAGTTTGAGACTTTAGTGTGGGATGCTCATTATGCCCCACCTGTTCACTATGTCACTCTAACCCCTAGCTATTCATGGTTTCAATAGTTCTCAAAAGAAAACTTCTTTAATTGATGATGACTGATTGAATTTTAAAAAAACATTCCCACAGTAGTGTATTTAAATGGATTACATAATCATAATCGAACTTTGCCGTGGAATAACATCTTGATATTTTTTTTCTTCCTCGAACCTCGAGAAAATATGGTCTTATTTATGCTAAGCTTGAAAAATCTGGAATGGAATGTATCATTTACTCAAACTTGCTGGTAGAAGGTCGTCACAAAACTTCTCGGCCATATAATTTAAATTGAGATTATTGTTTGTTGCCAAGTTTACTATCCATATTAATAGTATGGTATACAATACAATGTTCAACTTATCAGGTAAGTAAACATACATGTTAAAATAAGCGTGCACGGTATCTAGTTAAACTATCGAAAAAATAGAAGCACACGTACGCAAAATTTTACTGCATGGTTGTTTGGAATTCGTTAGTATTACTAGGAAGCATTATCCAAGGTAAGTACGTAATACAAATTTGCAAATCTTTTTCCTCGAAAGACTAATTTTCTAAGTGTCTATTATACTCACTATTAACACACTTTTCACAAATATACCGATTGCTTCTTATTCAAACTGAGAACAGTTTAACTCTGACACAATTGCATTATAACTACTTTAAATGTCTCCATAAAATTAATAGAGCAAGTATTACCATTTCTTCTCAGCTGAATTCATCTTTCATTCTCAATATTTTCAAGTATGACAATGAATCTACGATTTTTTTTTTTAAATATTTTTTTTTTTCTTTCTTTTTTTTCCTAACAGATTATCTACATTCATCCCCTGATGAGTATGTTCAACTTTATGGACCTCATCCACATACATACACACTTCCCAGGCGTTCTTTGGTGCAGCAATCGCTGGAACGCCCCATGTGTAATATCATGCCGGCAGGAGTTGCAATGCCATCAAGGTCAAACTACGGTTACGGGCCCCCAATGAGCAATAATGCTAGTCCATTCCAACGGAATAACGACGTCTACTGGACGCTACAAACTCGTCGCAGACCAAATCCAATGGGTTCGGTAGGAATGCGGGATGACTCGAAACTAATTCAACCAACTGCTAGGCCAATCGAAGAACTATATTCTACGCCGAACAAAATAAAATCAAATGAGCTTAAGACAACTCCTACTGGATTTGCGACATACTTCTCACCAATCGCTAAAAGTAACATAGGAACCGAATTGAGCGATGACGTTGACAGTAGTTTTAAGATTTCTCCGATCGATCCTAGAAATACAGCTACTTTCAAAACATCAACACCATCAAAACCACATGAAACATCACTGTCACCGACAAGGTCACTTACCGAAGAGCTTCGATATAAATTGAGACTGCAACAAGTAGGCGTCCGCTCACATGGAAACTCACCGGTGAGCTCCGGTCGTTCAACACCAAAAAATGTTCTCGAAGCGCAAGCACCTCGTGGCAGGCATAGCTGGGCTTCCAACAGTACTGACATTGCGCAAACATGCTCGGATAGACTAGGGACACCAAAAACAAGCCTTATGGATTTCAAAAAGCTTCTTCTTGCTCACGGATCCAAATCCAACCTTACTTCCGGGGGCAAAATGTCTGCTGTTGAATTACTCAAAAAATCAAAGAGTTCAAGCGCAGCTCAGCCAGTCTCTCCAGTTACGAAGACGTCTGCCAATAACAGTTTGAATATTTTGGATTTATCTGGATCTCCAAAAACATTCGCCACAAGGCGTATGATTCGTCAAGGAAACTTTGGAAACGGATCTCCATCAAAAATCGGCAACGGATCCAAACTTTCATCCAGGGGTGGTTGGCGGTACAGCAATGTGCGGAGTGAGGTTATGTCCACTGCAATCCCCGAAGCAAACAGCGAAGAAGATAATTCTAGTCCATGTAATTCCGCTTCCGTGAGTCGATCACAATCGCAAAGCCGCAATGTAACTCCCACGGCAACAATCAACGAGGTAAAGTCCTCACCTAAGTCTGCGGAACATGAAGTTATTGAAGAAAAAATGTCCAACATTCGGGATAACATATTCTTGCAAGAGGATGAAAACAACTTTATGAAGGGAGAAGTGGCCACCTCCCGTCCGCAAAAGACCACATCGCCAGCAACGACACGTGCTCAATTGCAGGCCCAAAGGGCAATGTTTTTAAGTAATAACAATCATATCAAATCCGCGACCTTCAAGGATGGCCACTATATGGGAATTAGCAGTTTTTCCACCACTCCACCGAAAATCAACGAAGTCAATTATAATAATGACTTAACCACTACGAAAGATGATCACCAACAGAAAATGGCAGCTCCGTCTTTGGAAACGGCTCTCTGAACTGTCCGCTATTGCCAAAATTCGAAAATTCCGCAGGATCAATTAACAGACCAACTTTTACCGGCTATATCCAGATATGCAATGTGAAGATTTCTTACAAAAGTATTACTATTGGATCCAAATTATATTCATTAAAATTAACTAAATTATTCATACAAGCTAGTCCGGAGACAATTATGAATGAAGACTTCACAAAATGACCGATTTTCAACAAAACGTAGGTAAATTCACAGTTATAGTCATAGTTTCGCTAATTTATATGTTAATCACTTTTAAAATGTATGTGTCTTTCAAACTGTCATCAAAAGTATAGTTTTAGTGGAACTTGTTTGATTTTTCTTTCCAAAGAAATAATTAGCTTCACGATTTATGCCTTTTCGATGAGTGTCAATAAATAAAAAGTGTACTAAACATAACCAACGCAGTGATTTCGCTCATCCAAGTTTCAATGCCTGTATTCAATAAGGATATGACTCGCCTTTTTGTTAAACATTTATTTATATCCTATTTATTCCATTAATTATTCGATAATTATTTACATACAAATGCATAATGAAAGACAGCAGACGTGAAACATGTATTGAAATAGAAAAGGAATCATTTAATATATTATCAACATTAATACTTTATATTTATATCTACGAGACAACTAAATATTATTACAGCGTAGTGAAAGAAGAAAACTAGATTTCTATAAAAGCGTGTTAATAAGTCTAAATAGAAACGTGTACACCAGAGAGGCAATTTTTATCCGAGAAGGCTAAAATATAGGCTATTCATAATAATCCGATTGATCACGACTGACCAGCAGTTCCGAAGTTAAGCTATCGAATTTCGTCCTTATGTAGATTTAATGTTTTTGGTTCGGTAAAATTAGTAAAAAGATACATTGATAGGTCTTATTTTACTTGCGTTGCGGACATTTATCATTTTCACTATTTATGCTCAGATTGTTTCCCTATTTCTAGATAACTGCATTTCATATTATCTTAATTAATTCATGATATTCCATGGATATGAGACAAAACGTTTTGTTATAAGGTGGCTTGAAATGTGCTTTATACATCCGAAAGAAAAATACAATAAACGAAAAATTCAAATCGACAAATGCAGTGTTTTAGATCCGAAGTCCTCATTTTTTGTCTTTGATTATATTTTTGAAATTTACATAACAGCACCCTGCAACTATAAAGGTGCTGAAGAAGGAGGTTAAGGATGGTACCGGAGGTTAAGTGGTGGTTAACTGGCAGCCACCACTAAGCCAAACAAAGTTGATGATGTAAAGCGGCGCCGGTGGTGTAGTGGTAAGCGTGATTACCTCTCATCCTAGCAGGCCTGGGTTTAATCCCAGTTGGCGCCGCCAGGATGTTCTGAGGCATAACATCTCTAATCACCGAGGGAAGTAAAGCCTTTGGTCTCCGGTTCATGAGTTGATGGGTCGATAGGGTAGGGTCCAGGTGTGGGAGCTGCCTCCCTGGCGTCGGTAGCATTGGTGCTCAGCCCGGAAAACAAGATCGACGGAAAACAAATCAAGGAAGAAAAAAGTTGATGATGTTGATGTTGGTTCTCACAATGGTTAGAATCAGGGTTTTTAATCGATAACCGTCGATAGCGTCTGCGTTAACAGGTACTCCGGCCGGATCCATAAGTATTTTCGCCGATGCTGCCTTGCCCATATTCAGCTTGTTAACCAACTAAATATTCCATCCTCCTTTTGAATTTCCATATCCAATAAATATCGTACAGAACCAAGACACGTCAGCTCGAATTCTTCCTTCAAATCTCAAACACTTCAAACACTTTGTTGATCTGTGCGCATCTACGCATCCGAATAAAAGATCATCTACGTACACTAGCAGATATCGCGTAACACCTTGGATATGACGCACATAGAGACACGAGTCTGATGTACACTGCCGAAATCGTAGCTTTTTCGTTAAAACAGCGTGCAATGCTTTATTCCAACACCACGCAGATTGAGGTTGAGGGGCGTCCAAGTTTTGTTCATCCAGAAGGGAGATTTCACTGGGGACCGGTCTGCCAATACTCATCGAATCAGTTTTCGGATGGATAGCGACAAGCGAGCCTCCCTTAGCTCAGTCGGTAAAGGCGCAGCTACAAAGCAAGACCATGCTGAAGGTAGCTGGGTTCGATTCCCGGTCCGGTCTAGGAATGTTTCCGGTTGAAACATTTCTTGACTTTCCTGGGCATAGAGTATGATTGTACTTGCCACACAATTATACTAATGCAAAAATGGTGCGCTCCAAAGCTAAAAACTGTGGAAGTGCATCTAGAACACTAAGTTTGAGAGTACGCAATAAGCTAATATATGCTATAAGCAATAAGCTTGAAATGTTACGAAGAAGAAGAAGAAGAAGAAGAAGAAGAAGAAGAAGAAGATTGTAATATTTATTTATTTATGACTAATAATCAACAGGCGTCTTTGGCCCCAATGATGTAACCTAAACTAAACATGAAAAGTACATAGATAGTCATCTCGTAAAAAAGGAACATTACTAGACAAACTAAACTGATCTTGAAAAAACGAACTAAACCTCCGTGCGAAGCAGCTGACGAGTCAGGTCAAAACAAACAGTGCGGAGACCCTCTTTAAGAGTATCTGTAAACCACAGATTGCATTGAACATGCTATAATTAGTTCGCTGTATGGTCAGGCGCAGCATTGAATTATTCCGTAGGGCTCGGAGCAGTCTGTGCGTCCTTGCAAAATATCCGCAATTAGCAATGCCCTTGCTGTATCTCTTCGGACCGACAGGGGCTCCAGATGGATCAGTTTGCAAACGACTTTCGTAGCTAGGCAATCGGAAGGGATCCGTCCACGGCAGTTTACGTAGCGCTTATCTAAGGAACCGTCGCTGAACAGACTCAACTCTTTCGACACCGTTGTTGTAGTGAGGAGTCCAGACCGAGCAGTATTCTAATATGGAGCGAGACGAGGAGCAATACAACGATTTAAGGCACTAGATATCCGTGAAGTCTTTGGCAATCCTGAAGATAAACCCTAGAATTCTGCAAGCTTTGTCGACGGCATACGACTTCTTGGCAATATGACTTTATGGTATCGTTCAGAATCATCAAACATGTTTATTATGTTGCAAAATACACATAATATTTAATTAAACATTAATTATCCCGATTAATGTACACATTCTGGTATTACGGCCCCAATACCATAAACAAAATGTTTTTTATTTTTTGTTTTTTTTTATTTTATTTTTTTTTTTTTTTTAAGAAGGGCATAAATAATGGAATAAATTTCTTTTTTATATGTTTTATGGATCCTGATGAATGTGGGCGTCTTAGTGGAATACCTGTATAAAGAGGAAGAGAAGGATTAATAATTTCTGTTTAATTCCACTACCTTATTTGCTTATCCTTAACGGCGCCGGTGGTGTAGTGGTAAGCGTGATTACCTCTCACCCCAGCAGGCCTGGGTTCAATCCCAGTCGGCGCCGCCGGGATGTTCTGAGGCATAACATCTCTGATCACGCCTTCCTTCGGATGGGAAATAAAGCCGTTGGTCCCCGGTTCATGAGTTGATGGGTCGATAGGTAGGGTCCAGGTGTGGAAGCTGCCTTCCTGGCACGTCGGTAGCATTGGTGCTCAGCACGGAAAACAAGATCGACGGAAAAAAACAAACCAAAGGAAAAAAAAAAAATTGCTTATCCTTGACTAGTACGCATATTTCGTCTACAATGTGCAGACTTCTTTAGTGTCTTGTACTAATACTCGACTCCGAGTCTAGTCTAGTCGAGTATTAGTACAAGACACTGAAGAAGTCTGCACATTGTAGACGAAATACGCGTATCTGTCAAAGATAAGCAAATAAGGTAGTGGAATTAAAAGAAAAATTACTAATCCTACTCTCTCTCTCTCTCTCTATTTATGTTTTATGGATTTTGAAGGAACATTTTCTACAGCATGTTTTCGATACAGTCCTTATGCATTTGAATACAAAAGAGATGTATCCTCTCGCATTTTCTTGTGTTTTAGCCGTTGGCTAGTTCATCTCCAAGGAATGTGTGTGTTTGCTTATATTCGATAAACACTAATTTTGAATGAGGTTGTATGTTGCTGTTGTTTGAATAATAATCAGTACTATTCATAGAAGTCTGTTGCTGTGGCCTTTACACCAACACCTCTTCTGCTGGTGAAGCGTTTGGAATTCCAGGATTTACAGCAAAATCTGGTCAGATACATCGAGCTCTCATATTTTTCACAAGCTTACATAAGTTTAATTCTTGTTTGGTTCTAAACTTTTTACGTTTCTGTAGCGAGTGTTTTGCAGGGCTCCCAGCTTAGTGTTCTAGTTCTGCACTTCCACAGTAATTAATTGAGAGCTTTCTATGCAAACCAAAGCTGGAGTTTATAGTGTGGCAGGCGCAGAATAATACTCTATGTGGGATATATGGTGGGTAAAATAATCATTTTATTCTGTACTTTCACAATTGTACGAATTGGGTAGCAAAATATTAATTATTCGCTAAGTTCTTATCAGCGTATAAATAAAACGCAAGTTTCAAGCAGATGAAAGAAATACTTTATCAAAATTGCTAGATTCTGATCAGCATGTAGCGTAGCGCAAATTCATGACAAACGCAAACCCACACCGGAAACTGGTCGAAAAAACGATGGAAGACAACGATCGTATAAATTGAGTGAGGGTACGGCAGAAAGGAGGGGAACACGAAAAAACGGGGAGAATGAGAGAGCACGAACTCAAATTGCTCTTCACGGTCAGCGTTGCCAGTATTCCAGATTTATCTGGATTATCCAGATTTTCAGTCGTCTTGCCAGGTACACAGACAGATCACGTATATTTCCAGATTTTTCAAATATATTCCAGATTTTCCCAGATTTTTTAAATATGTTGCTTTAAAAATATTACTGCAATTGAAGGACCCTGTAATGAAAAAATAAAAAGCCGAACTTACTACTTTATTTATTAAAGGCCATCAACGCTGGACATTATTGCAGCATAGTACTTGGAATTGTTACAACAGGTTTGCAATGGGTTGCAGAACCATGAAAATTGAAACATTTTCTAAAGATTATTGGCTGAAAAAAATCTCAAATTATCAAAAAATATCGAGCCTGCTTTTTTTAATTTGCAGATTTCTGAGCTGCCCTAGAATTCAGAATTTTAAAGTAATTCTGTAAATAGTTTACAGTGAAGTGTGAGGCGAATTCCTTGTGAAACCAAAGGAGAATTTCAAGTTAAATCTGAGTAGAGTTCCATCCAACTCCGTTGTCGTGCGGCGTCACCTGTCGTTCAGGCGTATTGTGATTCCCGGTCCAGCCGGTTTAACTTTTCGCAACCTAAAAATTTCCCTACTAGTGTGGTGTGTTGTCAGTTGTCTAGTGTTAAGTATGCAGTCTATGCAACCTCTTGTTGACACATTGTATTTTAAAAAGCTCTGATTACAATTGCATGGAGATTTTGTGAAGAAAGGAAATAGTTAGCATTCGGAAGATAAATCATAGAAAATTCTTAAGATGAAACTTAAGAAGTGTGCTGATACGAATCGTGAGAATAATTTCAATGGAATTTTGTCCAATCTTTCTATCGAGATTCATTTTTATCAAGAGTATTTCAAAACAATTCTAACATTACCTACAAAGCAGTTCAATAAGTCTGAAAAGAGTGTGACGGTCATTCTGAAGAGTGTATCAATGAAATTATTAATAATATTCTAAGGGAATTTCATAGAGAAAAATTATTTCCAGTTTGAGGGAATTGTTGAATCAGAGAGTGATTTATAAGAGATTATTAGAGATAATGCTAAGAACTATTAGAATGTTACTAAAAAGTTTGGATTAATAAAGATAATTTTAAGGGAATTAAGGAAAGAAGTGTGATGGAACCTAGGATGAATCAAATTGAACTCTGAAAAAAGGACGAAGATATCCTGTGAATAGTTCCAAGGATATTCAGAAAAATATAAATTCCAGAATTTAGAATCACTTCAAGAGCTTGAGACTTCAAAAATTTTTTAGAGCATTTCAGATTTTTCCAGATTTTATATTTTAACTGGTCCAGATTTTTCTGAAAATGACGTGGCAACGCTGTTCACGGTAGCGATAAAGT